ATATACACACACACACAGATATACACACACAACCCACCTCAGGTTTGGAAGGCATGTTTTCTTTAAAAAAAAAGTTTGTTTGTTTGTTTTTTTAAGCAATGTTTTGTTTTCTTTTACTTTAACAATTGTTGGTGATTTTTTTTTTCTTTTTTTTTTTTAAATATTTTGGATTTTTTTTCCTCTCTTTAAGAGTTTTTGGCTTTTTTTAAATTATTTTTGGTGAGTTAAGAAAACATGCTTTCCAGACCTGCTTTTTTCAACTCCAGGATTTCATATTAAACTTTTAAGCTTTAACTTTCACACATCAAATGATACATTTTTAAAATCTAACCTAATCTAATCTAATCTAACTAATTTTGGAGGGAGGGTCAAACATTTTCCCCCAGTCACTCAGGGGGGACTCAAGTAATGATATTTATTGCTTCAGGAGGGTCAAAATAAGTAAGAAAAGATGTTTTCTTGAGCCTACCTGATCTTGTAGTTTGGTAAGGTGTGTTTCTTTTTGATGACCCGTTTCAGCTGGTTGACTATTATGGAGGTGAGCTGAGGCAGCGGCCTTCCCTCAAACTGTGACTTAACCTCAAAATCCACCAGCGGGTCCTCGAGGAAGGAGAAGGACCAATGGGAGAAGGGCATGCGCGTAAATTGCAGCCTCAGTCTACCCACCACGCGCCTCATCTTAACGAACAGGTAGGCAGACTTCCCAAACACAAGCTCGACGTCGATGGCGAGGTGAAAGCCGCCATTGTATTCAATGTCCACCTCAAAGTTGAGTTCCTCTGGCATGCCGTCCTCGTTCAGATGGACTGGCTTCATAAGTTTGGCCGTTTTTAAGACCGGCAGAGAATTACCGAGGGAGATATCCCGGAGGCTGAGTCCCTCCAGGAGCCGACCCGCTGTCTTGGTCTGCAGCAGCTCCTCAAACTCCACCTTGATTTTTTTGGTGAGCCAGTGTCTAACGACAGGGGTGTCTCGAAGCTCCCTGAATAGGAACAAAAATATAGCATTTAGGAAATTGCACGTTTCGGCTTTGGCCGCATCACCGAGCTCGTTTTGAGAAGGCGGTGGCGGCTGTTGTTTGGGGCTGCCGCCGGTGACAGCCGCTTCCTGCTGCCTCGAGGAGACGGCCTCTTGCTGTTTGGATGCAGCAGATGCTGTGTTGTCCTGCTGCTGCTGGCCTGTTTCGGCATGTTGGGTATTAAAGTAATCCTTCAGTGCGTTATCGGGCACTACTTTGACATACTGCACTGTCCTTCCTGTGAGCTCGGGGCTTCTCCGGTATATCAGCAGAAACTGTAATATCAATGTAACGACTGCCCCGGAGAACGCGGAAATCAATATTAAGTAAATCATGTCGAGCAGCTCCCGTCTCTGACACACACTGTTTTCATAATCAAACGTTTGGCCGTGTTAACAAAGCAAGTTCCACCTGGTCGCTCCCAAAGCTGCCATATCATCTGCTTCTTTCCTGAGCTGCAAGCGCCTCACTTGATTGGACAGACGGATTACGTTGCTGTACGTAATGACGGACGGAGAACGTGTTTCTTTTGATGCGTTCAGGGCATGTGGGATTTACCACCACTCAACTCAACGACTAGGAAAACCTGTTTGAGCTGACCTATTGAAGAGGATATGTCATCCGTTACCCTGTTGTTTTTGTCTTGAAGAATCTCAAACTATTGGACATCTTATCTACTCATGTCCAGTCACACTACAGTTTTGGCAAAATTTTACAGGTCTCATATTATGCCCATATTCAGCATCATACTTGTATTTTGTATTTTCTTTGTATTAACCTGTATTTATACTTTTGTTCAACAAGAACATGTTTACATGCTTTCATGCTCAAGAAACACATTATTTTTCTCATACTGTCTGCCTGAATATACCTGTAATCGCCCTGTGTCTGAAACACTCCCTTTTTCTATCATTATAGACTGAAACACAATGTTTATTTACAATAACTTCCCAGTGTAAAACCCTCGTGTCACATACATGAATCAAATAGCACTGAGCAAATGCCACCTCAATTAGTTAATAATAATAATAATAATAATAATAACAATAACAATAATAATAATACATTATACTTATATAGCGCTTTTCGTGGCACTCAAAGACGCTTTACAAATTCAGGGTCACACACAAAAAAAAGACAGACAAGCATGAGAACAAATAAGGGATGAAGAAACTGTCAGTGATTGCAGCGTTGAACAGATGAGTCTTGAGTGATTTTTTAAATATTAACAGTGAGGGGTGTAGTATTCTGAGCATGTCTGTCATTACCACTGTGTGTTGTGATGACATAAGCAAGGTGCGCCAGAGCGACGGGTGTAAAAACACAGACAATAAAGTTGGAGGCATATGTTCGCCCCAGTAAGACCGACATAAAACTGTTCTGTTTATTTAGACAATTAACTGTCAATAACACAGGAACAATACATGGTGTCAGATAATAATAGTACGCATCGACCTGCCGATGGAAGATGGAGAGTACAAGTGTCCCCACGCCACGGATGGATTGGGATTCATCTAACCTTCCCGACACCTGGAGAAAGTTTCGCCAGCATGTTGAGCTGATGTTTTCCGGTCCCCTGCACGCTAAAGACGAGGAGGAGAAGTGCAGCTATTTGCTACTTTGGATCGGTGAGAAGGGCCGCGACGTATTTAACACATGGACTCTTACAACGGATGAAAGGAAACTGCTGAAGACGTACTACGACAGGTTTGAAGCCTATGTGACGCCAAAAGCAAACCCCATTTTTGCACGATATAAGTTCCACGAAAAAACACAAGGGGAAAATGAGAGTTTTAACCAGTTTGTGACTGAGCTAATGCTGCTGGTGAAAGACTGCGACTACCCCAATAGCGATGAGATGATTAGGGACCGTATTGTTTTTGCCATAAACTCACCAAGAGTGTGTGAAAAGCTACTTTGCCACGGTCCAGACCTCACGCTAGAGAAAGCTATTGACATTGCTCGTTCACATGAGCTATTACAGCAACAGTTATAGACAATGGTTAGCCCTGTTGCTAATATGGCTAGTCAGTCCGTGCATGCAGTTAGCAGGAGGACAACCAAACCAGAGCAAGCACGCCATGGATGCAAAACGATCATCGGGACAGACGGTGACAGTGCCGTTAAGAGCAGAGAGTGTGGTGCATGTGGGCGAGAGAACAGCCGCACATAGGACTGTCCAGCAAAAGGACGTCAATGTAATAAATGCAAGAAATTTAACCATTTTGCTAAGGTTTGTAGGACACAAACACCACAGAGACAGGCAAAATTTAAGTCCAAAAAAGTGCATGCTGTCTCAGACTGCACAGAGCAGACATCACCTGAGCTGTATATTGACACTATAACAAAACTACATGCAAACACAGCCAGAGAACAGGTATTTGCAGAAGTAGAAATAAGCAAAGCGAGGCACAAATTAAAGTTCAAAGCTGACACAGGTGCCCAAGCTAATGTGATACCAGCACACACGTTCCACAAAATGTTTGGAAGTGTAATGTTAGGCCCATCAGACAGTGCCATCTTAGGATATAGAGGGCAGAGGCTTAAAGTTAAAGGAGCTTGCAAGCTAACATGCAGATACAGAAATGAAACAGCTATGTTAGATTTTGACATAGTATATGTTAAAAACGCTCCCCCTGTCTTGTGTCTGAGAGCATGTCTAGACCTAAACATAGTTAAACTGGTGCACACAGTCGAAGTGCAGCCAGGAACACACATAAGCATCACAACAGAGTTTGCCGATGTTTTTAAGGGCATTGGACTATTTCCCGGAGAATGCATCCTTCACCTCAAGCCCTCAGCTACACCAGTAGTGTGCCCCCCTCACCGCATCCCATACGCTCTCCGCTGCAGGCTCAAGGATGAACTGGATGAAATGGAGAAAATGGACATTATCCAAAAAGTGACAGAGCCGACTGAGTGGGTAAATGCTTTAGTGGCAGTGGAAAAGCCTAAAACTGGAAGGCTTAGGGTGTGCCTTGATCCTCGCCCCCTAAACCAAGCCATACAGAGGCCACACTATCCGCTTCCCACTCTCTATGACATCACACCGAGACTAGCTGGAGCACAATATTTCAGTGTGCTAGATGCCAGATCCGGCTATTGGACAATCAAACTAAGCCATGAATCATCCATGCTGACCACCTTCAACACCATCTACAGCAGATACAGGTTCAAGCGACTCCCTTTCGGAATCATTTCTGCACAGGATGAGTTTCAAAGAAGGGTGGACGAGGCTTACGAAGGGCTTCAGGGCGTCGCAGCCATTGTGGACGACATCCTGGTATATGGCCGCACCTACTAGGAGCACGATGCAAACCTGCGTGCCATGTTGGAGAGGACTAGAGAGAGGGGTATAAAGCTCAACGAGGACAAGAGCATCATATGTGTGCCGGAGGTGAGCTATTTTGGTCACAGACTGACACGAGAAGGCATCCGGCCTGACCCTAACAAGGTCAAGGCGATCAGAGAAATGGCTCCCCCACACAGCAAGGCAGAGCTGGAGACCATACTGGGCATGGTCACCTACCTCTCCAGGTTCGTCCCCAGACTCTCCGAGGCAACAGCTCCCCTCAGACAACTGTTAAAAGAGAGCAATGAGTTTGTGTGGGACTCAAATCATGACATTGCTTTTCAAGAAGTGAAAGACCTGCTGACGCAGGAACCTGGCCCTGTACTAACATACTTTGACCACACAAAGGATGTTAAGCTGCAGGTCGACGCATCAAAATGTGCATCCACTGACTGAGACCGAAGAAAACTATGCTCAGATAGAAAAGGAGCTGTATGCGGTGCTGTTTGGATGCAAACGGTTTCATCAGTACCTCTACGGTCGACAGGTGGTTGTCGAGTCAGACCACAAACCGCTGGAGTCAATCATGCGAAAGCCTCTGGCAGCAGCTCCCCCACGACTGCAACGAATGATACTGCAACTACAGCGGTATGACATCATCATTACACATAAGCCTGGAAAACAAATACCAGTTGCAGATACACTTTCCAGAAAGCCCATCGAGTGCAGTGAGAGCTCACTGAGTGAAGGTATGGACTTGCAAATACATACCGTGGTCAGTAGTGCACCAGTAAGTGACAACAAAATGGCAGAGATCAGAGCCGCCACAGCGAAAGATGAGCAGCTCTCAGTGTTGAAGTGGGTCATCACCTCAGGGTGGCCCGAGTTGCACAAGAAATGTCCGCCTGCAATTTCAGCGTACTGGAATCACAGGGACGAGATATCAGAAACAAACGGCATCTTGCTAAAAGGAGAAAAAATCATTGTGCCCCACTCACTCAGAGCAGAAATGCTTTCACACATTCACACAGGACACTTAGGGATCGAAAAATGTAAGCAACGAGCAAGAGATGTACTTTTCTGGCCCGGAATGGGAAAACAGATAGAGGCGTTGGTAGAATCCTGCAACATCTGCCTGGAGTGACACAACTCTGTCCAAAAGGAGCCGATGATATCGCATCCTATTCCAGAGAGACCTTGGCAGGTGATCGCCACAGATTTGTTCACGTGGAACAACACAGACTACATCGTTGCTGTCGACTACTACAGCAGATACTTTGAGGTGGAAAAAATCACCAGCCTCACATCCAACACAGTCATCAAAAAACTCAAGGCCATGTTTGCTAGGTTTGGAGCACCACAGACACTAGTCAGCGACAATGGACCCTGTTATAGCTCGCAGGAGTTCAAAGGCTTTGCTCGTGCATGGGACTTTGAGCATATCACAAGTAGCCCACTGTACCCACAGAGCAATGAGTTAGCTGAAAGGACTGTCCAAACAGCCAAAGCCCTCATGGACAAGGCGCATGCACAGCGGACAGACCCCTACCTGAGTCTATGGGAATACAGAAACACCCCCGTTGATGGACTGAAATCGCCAGCGCAGCTGTTAATGAGCAGGCGTCTGCGTTCAATCCTCCCGACCAGTGACAAACAACTTGAACCAGAGGTTGTCTGCCGCAGCACAGTTCGCAGCAGGAGGGAAACCTGCCAGAAACGACAGAAACTGCACTACTACAGGACCGCAAAGACACGGCCTGCCCTGCCAGCAGGAGCCACAATCCGTTTCCAGCTGCCAAGTGGAAATTGGGAGCCTGCAACAGTTATAGATTCAGCAGGCACACAGAGGTCATATCCTCACAGGTGAAGGTCATGTGCTCAGACGCAACAAACGTCACCTCCTAAAGACTGAGAACAGCACAGATCAAGAAGCACCAACTTGTGACCCTGATCCTGAGAATGCTGAGCCAATGACTATGCAGCAGGACACTGTGGGTTAAACAGGCCTCAAAGAACCCCTGCACTTCACCACCACTAAGTCAGGTCGCATAGTGAAACCAAGAGACAGACTAGACCTGTAAAAGAAAAAACAAAATGTCCAAATGTGAAAGTATGCCACGTTGTTGATGTTGGAAGTGTTTATTTTGACACTGCAGTTAAGGAATGCCATGTGGTATTGCTAATGTTTA